CCCCCCCCCCCCGGGGCGCGGGGTCACGGGGCGCCCGGCCCGGTCGAATCACGGCGACACGAAATTAATTTCGTTGCGCTTTATTTTGATTTCGCTATATCTCCTAAGGTATTCATTTAATTTGCATGGTGTAAAGAGAAAAAATAATCTTTATGAAATGCTCAAGCCAACTAACGTATTTAAAATGATAAGAATTAATACCGTATTTGTGTAAATAGCTTTCCAATTACCGCTTTATAATTGCCCATTTTTTAAAGTATTAAAATTGATATAGTATGTTGTCCTTAAGAGATAGACAGCGTTTTCGTTGAAAGCTCCCAGACGGCTTTATTTTTCCGACACCCTCCAACAAATATCATTAATGTTTACAAAAACTTAATAAATTATATACTAAAACCTTCCTCGAGAACCACTCTATCCATTGGTGAAAGCAGCATGAAAATCGATGCAGTAGTTTTTGAGTTTATCGCGAACAGACATACAGACAGACGCGGCGGAGGACTTTGTTTTATAATATGTAGTGATAATGATATCTAGCAAACAGCTTGTAATTAATACTAATTATATAAAATATAAATTAAAAAAGATAATACCTAAATACTAATACAAAAACACATAACTGACATACTGAAATTGTTAAATAACGCAATATTTCAAATGAACATCATGTATTCTTGTTGCTCTAATATAATCCTTGAAAAACATCCACACATGAAAATAGAGACCATCTTACTATTTCTACATTCAACTTTTCGGATATAAAACTACATCTGACAGCAGGAAAAGAACAACTAGAAACCACCATATTGTTTTATTGCAGCCTTTAGGAATAGATTTTCTCGTCTCGTTCGTAATTCGATACTATGATTGGAGATAGATTACGGTAAAGAACAGTATCCAACGCAAAACTTACTAAATGTGAAGTTGCATCAGATTTTGGAGCTTTAGAGTCTACTAGATTTCTGGTGTTTATCAGGAACTACAGAGGAACTAATTTCTTCTTCGTATGTCCAATATATGCCTGTGGAATTGAGTTAGTAGATCATACGAGGTACAGCTTGAGTTATTCATTTTATGATATACAAATTTATGGTTTGGCTCTACGATATGAATTCACCGAGTGTTGAACTTTAGCGGATGAAATTTTAGGGATGTTTTTTTTTTTTGAAGGTCATCCGAAGCTGCAGGATTGCAAGGTTTGATCTTGTCTTTGAATATCCAAGATATGCAATGAACCCTACGAATATGATGTGTTGATTCGTTTTCAGAACAAGGTTTGTCTGTTTTAGGGGCGAATTTTAGTAATTAAAGGAAAACTGGTTTATAATGGAGCACATTCCATGGGTTAATGGGGGATACACACATATAAGGTGACATCGGTCATCTTTTCTCGACCTATTTTATTGTTTTAATATATTTATTATAAGCATGAAGTATGTGGTGATTAAT